GGCAACCTGAAGCACTTTACTTATTTCTGGCATCATCGACAAGGACACAACGGAAATGCCAATAACTGCAATGTGTGTGTGTGTCCGAATGTTGGCCGGCAGGAGGAAAGGACGACAGGACGACAGGACGAACTGGCCAGCGGCAAGGCGCATTCAATCAGTGTTATTGCAGGCTGTCCAAATCCCTGGCGGCCACAAGTTTCATAGCTCGCAACGATTTGCTATTCAAGTGGCGAACGGGCAGCAGCAAGCCTTCAGCTTGGCCTCTTTCTCTCCCCCGTCGTCGTCGTCGTCGTCGTCGTCGTCGTAAACGTCGTCAAAAGCAGAGCGGAAATTTATGACAGCGTTCGCATTCAACTGCAATTTGGCTTGTCTGTCTGGCATTGTGTGTGTGTGTGTGGGTGTGTGCGGGTGTGTGTGTGTTGGGCTGGTTGTGAAAATGATGTAATCATAGTGCACATGGCAGCGGCAGCAGTTGCAGTTGCAACTTGCCACTGCTGTGCGTTTTGCCTGCTTACAAAATAATTGATTTTGTGTGCACATCCTTGACACAAATAAACACTCACAACACTGGCACACACACACACACACACAGAGAGAAACGCACTCACACAGAGACAAGTTTAACTGGAAGCTCTATAAAATTTGAATTAAATGCAACAAAGCATCGGTTTTTAATTGAATTTGAAAGGGCTGCCCCTTTGGCCAAGGCAATATACATACATATATATTTTGTAACTGTTGAATTGAGTTTGAGCAAATCGAATAGAAAATATCGGCCACAATTTCTATAATATGAGGCACTTGGACAAAGCCTCGATTTGTTTGCCAATAGCCACTTTGCTGCAAACTCTAGCTGCAGTCCCTGCCCCCGTTTGGCTTCTCGTTGCGTTCTTATAAATGTTTGCACTCGACTATGCAACGTGCAAAAGGCAACAAAAAAAAAAAAAGGAATATATACAGAGAAATATATACAGAGCAAACCGAAAAAGGCCACGCAGAATTGTGCAGTCGGAGACGCAGACGTTCGCTTGAAACTGAGGCGCACTCGACAGGCACTCATGACATGCGCCGAGTGCATGCATATGCAGCAGGAGCAGGAGCAGGAGCAGGAGCTGGCAGCATAAACCATGTGCACAATAAACCACCTAGCACTTGACAGGCAACAGGCAATGGCAGGGAGCGGGGGCCAGGTCTTTGGGTGCAGCATCAACACATCAACAGGCCGCGAGGTTGTAGCTGAAGCTGTTGCCGATGTTGCCAAAGCCTCGCACGAGAACGAGGCCTCATCACAAATTCCGCACTCGCACTTGTATTCCCAATGAGCTGACAGCTGGCATTTGTACGTCAGTCTGTCTGTCTGACTGTCTGTCAATATATAGGCAGCCATAAAAAGGAGCTAGACTTGCGTGCACATGTGCCCACATAGTTTGGCTAAGAGAATGTTAACTTATTTACAGCGAAGCGCTGTTTATGGCTAATTGAAACTGGGCTTTGCTTTGCTTAACATTTAACATTTTTCGCCAGCTGCCAAGCTGTCAAGTTTAATTGGCTGCCAGCTGCACAAAAGGCGCCAGTCCCTGCTCGGGCGCCCGCCACTTTTGGGCTGCAACAGCCAATGACTCGGCAAAAGGATTGAGAACTTTGTTGCGTCCGTCAATGTCAGCGGCAGCGTACGTAGCCAGGTGTACTCGGCCCTCGCTCGCACATTTGGTATTTTAATTAAAGTTGCCACAATTTGTTGCACACAAAATACGTATATGAGAATATGACAGCCACAGCATGCACAAATGCAAGCCAAGCCCTTTGAGGCGCACTCGGAGTAAATAAGTATTTACGAGGGCCGTTCAATCGGTAAACAAGCTGCAATTTATTTCTAATTGTGACCGCATTCATTAACAAGTGCTGGCGCCCAACGTGGGACAAGTGCTGGCGCCCAACGTGAGACACGGTTAAATCGACATTAAATGATATGCTGCGTGTTTGGCATTCAATTTATCAACCGGCTCTCATCTGGCACGCTTTGGCGCAACGGGGCAACAGAGTTGAGCACATTTAAATGGTTTGATTGACTTGATTATTTAATTGCCGCTGGCCGCAAATAAGCAACAGACCAACAGACTAACAAACCAACAGGAAAACGCATATAGATTCAACAGACAGCAGGAGCAGGAGCAGGTCTGCAAAGCATTTCCCAGGACGTGGCCAATTGATTGAAAATCAATAGCTGCGCGTGTGTCTCTGAAATGGAATTGAAGAGCAAGTAAAAGCAAACTAATTGGCATTAAAAGTCGTTGTCTGTTTCAACTCTGTCCATCTGTCTGTCTGTCCAACTACTATTGAATCAGCATTTTAATTGTTTTTGTTAATATTCTTTTTCTTTCTGTTTTTGTTGACCAAAATGTGGCCAATGGCCAAAACGCTGCCTGCGGCAATGCAATCGCAATCGCAATCAAAAGGCCATTGAGAAGTGCCGCGAAATTGAATTAAATTTGCATAGGAAAACAGGCAAAACGACAAATAGGAAGACGTCGACGACGACGACAACGTTGGCGGCTGTTAATAAATATTAAAATTTGAATTATACTCGGCAAACCAATGAGAATTTTATGCGCACTGATAAAAAAGAATCCAAAAAAAAAAGGCAGCCATTTTGTGGTCGACAAGCGGGGGCCATGTAGGAGGGGGGCGGGGCGGGGCGGGGTTGTAGGTGTGGTCGCACATTTTGGCAACATTTCAAAAGCCGGCCCGTGATTTCAAGAGTGCGCACACAAAGCCAAGAGCACACAAAAAATAATATAAAAAAAGTATATAAGAAAAAAAAGAGGAAAATTGTAATGAAAATGCAAAAAGTGACGACGAATTGAAAGTTGTGCTCGTTTTCTTTGGTATGTTTGTGTTTTTTTTGTGCTCTCGCTCTTGCTGGCACAATTACCAAAGCCATTTTCGTTGATTTGTAACACGTTGCAGGCTGATGATGATGATGCGAATGATGATCATCATGTTGATGATGGGGCGATGATGACGTGCAACTTGGAAAGTAGAACTTGAGTGGCCCCAAGATGTGGCGCAATTGTCACACAAACACTTTGCATGCACAATCAGAGCCGCGCGGCACAGTGAAACGAACGAAAGGAAAGAATGAAAACCTCCTCCTTCTCCCTGCCTCCCTCCTCTTACGATTGAGTGGCAGCCCTTGGTGCCCAAATTCCCCCATGAACCTCCCCCCCCCCCTCTCAACTTGAGAAACACTAGTAATAAAAGTATATGGAAACTTGCCGCTTGACGCCTTCCCGTTCGAGCCAATTGGCAGCTGCAGACGCAGCTGCTCCCTTTCAATATGCAGTTTAATATTTAACCAGAGAATAGTTAAAATTCACAATTTCGCAGCTTGCGAATTCCGAAGGGCAACGTTTCTGGCACAAATTAATTTATACGGTTTTCTTCTACAGCTTGGCCGGCAATTACAATGCCCTAGACAAAACATTAGCAATTCGCACATGTGGAATAAAGGTGGAATCGACTTAACGAACACTGACAAAAGCTGGCTGCTACACATTTTTACAAGGTGGCAACGCCAACCAAGAGTTTATCAGCGAATTTAAAGCCAGCTGGCCACATTATGTTGCAATTAGGTAACAAAGCAAAAGGGGCTTTAGAAGTCGTTGTTCGTGGAAAAAGCAATCTTCTACATCGATTTGTATTTATATTGGTATACGTATTTGTCATGGCAGTTGTATGCATTTAATCTGCGTATTGTTGCATTGCCAGCGACTACAATAGATGCTGGCAACAGGACCAGGCGGCAGGGAGGAGGTAAGCACAGGCGCTCTATAAATCAAAATGTAGAGAAAAAAGCGCCCCTATCAAGCCGATACATTTAATACACTTTTTACTTAGAGTATGATAAGGAGTCCAATGAGAAGTTAGATAACTGAACGTTTAAAAACCTCAAGGAATATGGGAGATTTTAGAGCTATCTATAAAAAAGTTAGCTTAAATGAGATTTGGATAAGAGACAGGAATTAATATAGTCAAATGCAGGACCTGCTTTTTGTTACCAACATCTTGTCAAAGTCTTGCGACATCTGCCGCGCTCAAGAGTAAGTGGAGAAAAATAATACGTTCTGGCTATTGTCATGTGCTCCCAAAGCAGTGTCTTTTCATGGCGTCCGTATCATCCGCGTGACCTCTAGCCGCTGGCTGCTTTGCCGTCACATAACAATAATTATGTACATGTGGCCAATATGAAATGGAACTGCATTTGTTCTGTGTGGCAAGCCACGTGCAAGGCCGCCCCCGCAGCGATTTCACTAAGATATAACACATATAATTGTGCATTCGACTGATGTCAGCAATGTCACAAACAATATCCATATCCATATCCATATCCCTATCAATATCAATACATGACATACACTGCGCCAAAAATAGCTGACAGAAATGGTAAAAATGAGAAATGTGCAAGTCGTGTTCGCCGTTGAAAAGTTGTTAATCCTAGTTCCTCTCAGGTTCAAACGGAAAATAATCCTATTTCCGTTCCCTCTCAGGTTCAAACGGAAAATATTCCTATTTCTTTTTCCTCTCGGCTCAACATCTTCATAAGGAACCCGAGTATTCTATTGAGTTTTCCTTCTTATGGTCAGATAAGTGATTAATCCTAGTTCAAACGGAATATATTCCTATTCCTATTCCCATTCCCTGTCAGGCTCAAACGGAAAATATTCCTATTCCCATTCCCTCCCAGTTCAACATCTCCATAAGGTACCCGAGTATTCTATTGAGTTTATTCCTATTCCCATTCCGTCCCAGGTTCAAACGGAAAATATTCCTACTTCCATTCCCTCTCAGTTCAACATCTTCGTAAGGTACCCGAGTATTCTATTGAGTTTATTCCTATTCCTATTCCCATTCCCTATCAGGTTCAAACGGAAAATATTCCAATTCCCATTCCCTCCCAGTTCAAGACCAAGGTGTAGCTGGAATTCTCAGCGACTCACCTGCAAATCGGTGCCTGTTGTGCCCGGCTGTGCCAGATCACAAGCTGATATCCAAGGATTAAGGCGTGTTAGAGCTGCCGCACTGCCGAGTATGGACTTCTTGGGATCCACGGGCGTCGGCAATTTGACACCGGCTGCAGCCGCAGTTGCTCCGCTCGTTGTTGTTATTGTTGTTGTTGCTGCAGCAACAGCGTTCGACGAGGTGCCGCCGTCCCTCTGGGCAATTGCGATTAGATGCGACGCATAAGCGTCGTTAACTCTGATCTCCTCCTGCGGCTGCGGCTTCTGTTCCAGCTGCTCCTCGCCCGTCTCGCGCTTGTTGTTGCTGCTGTTGTCCTTCTCGTTCTCGTTCCCGTTCTCGTTCCCGATCTCGTTCTCGTTCTCGTTCCGGTTCTCGTTGTGTTGCGCATGCAGCACGCTTTCATCGACCAGTCGACTCTCGTCCTGTTGCTCTGGCTCGGGCTCCTGTTCCCGTTCCCGCTCCCGCTGCTGTTGCTGGCTCTGCGCTAGGTTGTAATCCTCCTCCTCGGCGGCTGCGCTGTCGGCGTCCTCGCTCAGCTTGATCAGCCGATCGAACGACTCCTCGGACAGCAGATCGTCCTCGGCGACCAGCGCAAAGATGTCCTCGTCCGCGACAACGTCCGCGTCCGCGTCCGTGTCCGCGTCGTCGTCAAAGGCGCGCGATGAGGCGTACTGCACGGGCAGCCCGCTGTTATCCTCTTCGTCCTGCTGCTGCTCCTCCGGCTCGGCTTCCGTCTCCCCGTTCTCGCCGATGAGCGTCGCCTCGCTGGACTCGGGCGCCCCCGCCGCCGATTCGGTGCCGCCCGTGCGGCCCGCCTCGAGACTGCGAACGCGTCGCAGCGGTTCGTCTGGTGCGTGCACCGCCGGCCGCCGATAGAAATCAAAGTTGAGCGGAAAATTTTGGGCGGGGTCGTCACCAGGGCTACCGTCATGCAATATTGGCAGCAGAAATGAGAAGCCGCCGCCGCCACCAGCTCCAAAGTTCGACGACTCTCTGCCGCTCTGCCGGGCCGAGTCGTAGCTGGACGGTAAATGTGCTGCTGCCGCTGCTTGTGTTGCTGTTGTTGTTATTGCTGGTGTTGTTGTTGTTGTGGTTATCGAGCTGCTGCCGCCGCCGCTGCTGCTGCTGATGGTGTTTGTGGTGCTGGCACGCCGAGCCCCCGAAATAAACGCAAGCGCCATCACGACCAGCCCGGGTCCTGGCCGCATATTGACCTCGGGTTCGGCGGTGCTAGCATGGTGCAGGCCCGCTTGAGACGCGCTTGCGACTCCAATTCAATGCGATAAATGATGGGCTCATGGCCCCATCATCATCATTAATATGTGTGTGTCGTTTCGATTTCCGCCTGCTGCTGCTGCTGCCTCAGCTGCCGCGTCTCCTTCTGCTGCGCCTTGAAGGCGGCTCCAAGCGTTACCGTTTCCGTATCCTGGCAACTGCTCGGCTCGTCTCTGCGCTCTGCGGCTAGCGGCATGAATCACGTGCTTCGCGACCAGTCCAAATGGCTGATACTATCAATGGCAATGGCGTTGCCAGACCGTCAATTAACAAGCACTTTTCGTTGATGTCGCAGATCGGCGGCGCAGCGACTCATGGCAGAGGCGCGGAGCTTGCAGTGAATGGAGGGGCGGTAACCGGAATATCGAGTTAAAGTAAACTGGGGAATTAACAGAAACTCAAACGCAACGCAAACGAAAGTCACGACTGTGGCCGATAAACGATAAACGATTTATTTGCCACAAATTTCGATAGAACAGCACATTTTAACATTTAACAACACTTTTTTTTAAATTCTTTTTGATTATTTATATTTTGCGACTGTTGGGACCGTTGTTTTGATGTTGCTTCTTGTTGTTGTAGTCGTAGTTGTTGTTGTTGCTGCTGTTGTTGTTGTTATTGTTGTTGTTGTTGTTATTGCGACACTGCTGCACATTAACCTTGAAATTTAAATTGAAATTCGTGTGTCGTGTGTGTTTTTTCTTGTTTTGCTGCTGCTGCTGCTGTTGTTGTTGTTGTTGCTGTTGTAGTTGTAGTTGTTGTTGTTGCATTCTTTTTGGACTTACAGCCACACGCGAAGGTCACATAGCAGCAAATCTTATTTTTCGTGTTTGGCTGGACTGTAAGCATTATTTATGATTAGGTTATTATTTGATTAATGAGTTTTCTACATTTTGTTTTATTTTTATAATTTTCGGGCAACAAAAGACTTTTACGGTTGCCGCAGCGCTTTGCGCTTTTCGAAACGAAATTTTCGGTTTTTGAGCGCGCTCTCTCGCCGACCTCTCCCTCTCACTCTCACTCTCCCTCTCTTTCTGTCATTCGCTGCCGAAACGCCAACGCAACGGTTTATGTATGGCTAGCTGCTTGTTGTGCGCCCACGCTCCAAGCTCAGCTGCGCGCTCTCTTACTATTTTTCTGTTTTTTTTTTGTGCGCTCTGCATTTGATTTGCATTTGAAATGCCGTTACATGCGTTATGCGCTTTGCGAAAAATAAAGCTTATAAAACGCAATTTGATGACTGAGATTTATGACAACAACTTTGCATTTTGCATTGTCTGCTGATTTGCATTTGTTCACGCGAAAGAAGCAAAAGCAATACGTGCGTGTGTGTGTGTGTGTGTGTGTGTGTCACAGCATCGAGCTTTAAGCGAGCCAATAAGCGAGAGTGTGAGCGAGAGAGAGCGAGCATGTAGAATGAAAGCAGCGCCACGACGAGCACATGACGAACACGAAGTGAAACCGAAGCAGCCGCAGCAGCCACCACACAAAAGAAGAACGCCGAAAAAACGTCCCTAGCACACAACACACGCATAGACACACACACACGCACACACACACACACACGTACACGTATTGAGAGACAGCAGCAGCACACGCACAGGCCAAAGAAATTTATATAATTCGCAGCGGCCGACGCTGCTTGCTGCTGCTGCTGCTGCTGCCACTGCCGCTGCTTGTTGTTGGTGTTCTTGTTCTTGTTGTTATTGCTGCAAACACAAAACAGCGCTCGTGGGTGGTGTGTAGCAGCAATGTATATGTTTGTATATGTGTGTGAGTGAGTAGTTACTTAGGGCAGCCAGGCAAGCACTCGGCGTGCCTTTTGTAGCAGCATGAAGTAGTCGCCGTCTTCTTTGTCACTGTACGTGTTAGTGTTGGTGGTAACTGTAAGTACGTACGTGTATATATGCATATGTGTGTGTGTGTGTGTGTGATGGCAGCGCCAAAGACTACAGCGACTGCGGCGCCTGCATGTGGATTTTGCGTGTATGACTGTGTATTGGTGTTAGCTGCGGCTGCTGCTGCTGCTGCTGATGCTGATTGTCCAACAATAAACGCAGCATACTTGCAGGCAAAGCGTTCTTTTTGTTTAGAGCACGAAGAATTTTTTTTGTTGATTTTTAATGCATATATTCGTATTTATTTGTTTCTTTCGCTGCGTGTGGGTCACAAAAGACGCTGCGCTTTTCAACAAACAACAAAAAAATCATGTATATGTATATATGGTTTTTTTTTTATAATTATCATAAATGGAGTGAGCAGATGAATAGAATGTCATTTGAATGGGCGCTCTGGCCACACTGTGCGTGTGTATTTGTTAACTTTCACTTTTGTTTTATTTGCTGCTGCGTTGACACTGCGCGCTCACACACACACACACACACACACACGCACACACATACATATATGCACACGCATGTATATGTGTAGGTATTTTCGCATTTCTTTTTTTGTGCGTTTATGCGTGTGTGTGTGTGTGTGTGAGTGTGTGCTACTTCGGGTTTCTGCTGTTTCTGTATGGCGGCTGCTTATATAAGCCCGGAACATGGCACAAAAACTATTCGCCACGAACTTTTCGTTGTAGTTTTTCCTGCAATTTGCCACGGCGTTTTGTTTATGCAACGTGGTCACACTTTGTGGGGTGCCCAGCAGCCATTGCTATGATTTTCACATATTATATAACATTTGCAATACAAATTTGAGGGCTTCATGTGGCGGCCAGTCGATGTGTCACTGTTACTTCAATCGCTGTATCGATCGCGATCTATCGAAACATTACGCAAACACACATGCACACACACGCACACGTTTACGCAAACGTAAAGCGTTAACGTTACGTATAAAACTAACATAACAAATGCCCAAATACCCGTGTGTACATAATTACAATGTACTATGTGCGTGCGTGAGTGTGAAAGTATTTCTTCCAAGAGCGCAGCATCAACTGCCGTAACGGTCGCGTGGGCGGAGGCTGCGGCAGCGAGGGGTAGGGTAGGCTGCTTGCTTCGCTATTTTGCGGGGGGGAAGGGAAGCAGTGTTGGCAGCGCTGTGAGAGTTATGCTTAGCAGATTTTATAAGTTGAACACCAACAAAAATGGCTAAAATGACAGACAACGCGTTTTAATTCTCAACAACTCATCATTTGCATTATTCGTAAAACAATAACGATAACGATATCGATAACTCAATTGGCGTTTGCTCGTTTTTCGATTCTCAACTTTTCACGTTTATTGGTTGCGTTAGATTTGTTATTATTATTTTGTATTATTTCTTTTCATTTGCATTTACATTATGTGCTAGGACATTTTATGGGGCTTTTCTTTTTGCTAATATTTTTTTTATTTTTTGGTTGGTTGCTTTTTCTTTGTATTTTTTTCTTTCTTTTTTTTTGGTTCTTTGCTGCTTGCTTCTGTGGACAAACAGTTGCGCGACGACGCAGGATATACCGTTACAATCCTGCTTCTTGCTGATGGCCCCAAACGGCACTGACTGTGCCACAAATTGCAGATGGCGCTTAACTGGAATATGGCCAATGGCCCGAGAGCTGTCTATGGGGGGCAACCCGAACAACGGCGCCGCGCTCAGCGCTGACAACAAACGAACCCGAGAGCGCTGATAGCGATGCGCTCTCATGCTCTCGTTCTCTCTCGCTCTCTCTCTCTCCTCGCACTTCGTGTACGAGTCGTGACAGTTCGAATATGAAGCTTCCAGTGCTGTTAACTAACAGTGACTGCTGCCTTAACTTAACATTTGTGTGTCGCTGTTTGCGTTTGTGTGTGTGTGTGTGTGTGTGGGTGCGTCGCTCTGTTGAGCTGAAGCAAGAAAAATTACTTGCTGCAGGGCACTTAATCACTAATGACAGCGACGCCAAAGCCAACGTCAGCAGCAGCATCAGCATCAGCTGCGACTGAGGCAGCGACTGCGACATCGGTGCCTGAACCTCAACTCACTCAAAGTGCGTCTTCCCCCACTTGACTCGAATCGAATCGAATCAACTCGACACTCGACTCGGATTACGTCCTTTTCGCTATGCCTGAGACTATGACTTGGGCTTTTGCTGCTGCTGCTGGTGCTTCTACTTCTGCTTTTTGTGTGCGCGTTTCGTTACGGCGTTTTGTCTCACTTGGCCTAAATGTCTAATACCCTATAATATCGTTTAATCCCACTCAACGTGCTTTAGTTGTGCTCTGCTGCTTACAAAGAAGGCAGACGAAAGGCGCATCCAGTGCAGTTGACAGTTCCAAATGAGCCCATTCGATGTGGAGAGAGAGACAGAGGGAGAGAGAGAGAGGGAGAGAGAGAAGAGCATGTAGCTCTCCTCTTGAGCTGCTTTAATTGCAATTGCAAATGCTGTAGCATAACTTTGAGCGCAAGTTCAAGCTGTCAAAGTTGCAAATCACAAACTAACGGCAGTTGCCGCTAACAGCGTACTGGCCTCAAAAGCCAGCCAAGGCCGCCAAGACCTTCAATAGACGAGCAGACAGCTGACTCTGCCGCTCAAACTGATACCAAACGTGCTTCCCAGCGGCCACTTGAATTATTAACCTACCGTTAATTAAGCTAAGTAACTGTGCCACAAATCAAATCTGCCAAAACAGCGAGCCGCCGCAGTGGCAGCAACGGTGTCAGCATATAAACTATGCAACAATTTCTGATCGTAAGCACAAATATAGTGAAACCCCCGTTTGAGGGGACAACGGTATTTAAATTATAATGCAAAAATTTACCTAGCAAAAATTTTCCTAGCAATTAGCATTAAAAATGCCAAAAATCTGCTTAAGTAAAGGGAATAGAGATCTTAAAGGGAATGCCAGGCCCGAAATTGGTTTAATTTCAATAAGGTTATGTTTTATGGTAAACACTGATTAGAATTCGACGTTGGGATTTACACAGATTTTCCTTTCGAAAGCGACAGCCTAGTGGATTTTCGCTTGTGCCGGTCCCGGCCCGGCTCCGGCTCCGGTCCCGTTCCCGGTCCTGCCCCTGACCACACCCGTTGCTGATAAGGATAAGGAACAGTAAAAATAAAAGTAAAAGTGAACGAGGCGACAGACAAAAAAAGGGAAGAAAAGAAAAACTTAAAAACATCGACAGGAAGCATAAAGAAAAAGGGACAAAGAAGGAAGCAACAAAGAAAAAAAAAACAACAAAATAAAGAAGCGAATCCCACATAATTTGGCTTGGAAACCATTTTGCTTCAATTTATGCGCATTCCAATCAATAACTGTGACACATGCAACCAACGAACCAAGGAGCCAGGCAAGGACATCATCACACAGCATAGCACAGCACAGCGCAGCGCAGGAGAGTGAAAGTGCTAAGATATGCCCAATGGCACAGGGTGCCCCGAGGCGCCAAAGGATGAGCAGCTTTTGGCCAGCTTCTAAGGAGACACACACACACACACACACACACACACTTGTTAAAGAGGAAGAGCAGAGTGGAGGAATGGATATGAATGTGTCAAACTTATGCGGGCACACACACAAACACACACACGCACACACGCAGCTTAATGTGTGCGTGCAGAAATTGATAAGAAACAAAATAACCCTGAAGAAGAAATTGTGCAAAGAGCGGCAAGCCAAGCAAATGAGAGAGTGTGCGTGTGTGTGTGTGCGTGAGAGAAAATGGAAAACAAAACCAAAAATGCGAGCACCAACAACAATAATACAGCTACATCAGCAACAACAACAAGAATTCTAAGAAATTCTATTAGCAGCTTGTCTCTGTGTGCGAGTGTCTGTGTGTGTGTGTGTGCGTGCTTAAGTCGTGTATGCAGATCATAAGCTTTGCTCTACACACACAAGCACACAGCTTGCGCTAAAGTCAGCAAGTTTCATAGCATGCAGCTAGTTGTCGTTAAGGGACAAGCTTATTAGCATTGATCTGGGCTTAGGCATAGCTGGACAGTCGCAATCGTTTATCGTAATCGCAATCGCAATCGCA